GTCACTAATGAGCGTATATTGATTCACAACAGAAGGGGTTTTGTGGATATTATAGAAGTTTCATAGTTGAATTCATGAGTCAGTTGAAGCTATACCACCATGAAAATCCTGAAAGCAGTAGACGGCCATTTCTTCTTATTGCAGGACTCCTCAGCAAGGTGTACTCACGATCTCACCTCGCGAGATCCGAACACAGGACCTTTCATTTTACCATGGTCTATCTTTAATTGACATTACTATACTATCCACAAAACCCCTTCTGCTATTTCTTTTTTATTCATACTAATAAAGAATTGTATTATATTGTTGTATTTTCATCTCTCTCTTTCTTAATGTTATTATCTGTTTATATCAATTAAAGGCGGCGTTCTATACTAGGACGAAGCGACCATCCAGTGCTTACAGATTTTCAATGATGATCTAGCTTAGATCGACTTATGAAAATACAATTGTTTTTATTTTCATCTCCTTTTCTAATGTTACTATCTATTCAAATCAATTAAAGAATAAACATACACATATTTTGAGCAATATTGTAAATGGTATTTTGTTAAGAAAAGAAATATATATACAATTTTATTTGTACAATTAACGAAATAAAAATCACATTCAAATTGAAGTATTTTAAATGAATAAACTTCAAAGCAATAGAAGAGAAGGAAAAAAAAAACCATTTTTCAACTATTCATTTAAGTGTTTAAGTCTGTCTTTATAGAAAATGTAGAATGAAATGAATTCAGTTAGAATGGAAATTATATATATATATATATATTTCTTTAATGGTTTGAGTAGATTATAAAAATTACCATTCTAGTTTAAAAGTGTTCTTTTCTTTTTGTTGTAAAAGGAAAAAAACGGATCTAACAATGTTTATCAGTTAAATTTATTTCTAACTACAGAACGAGTGGTTGGATGAAGTAAGCTCTCTCTTTTGTTTTGTCTTTTGCTCTAGAATTAAATCTTATAATTTATTATTATGTAATTTAAATATAAATTGAAATTGAGATAGATTTAAATCTGAATTATCTAATAACTTAGACAATAATGATAGGATAATATGAATATCGACCAAATCTTGTATATTGAAGCGAAATGAATTTCACTTTTTTTTGTTTTTCAGAGTTTTACAAATAAAGAACTCTACAATCAGTAGTTGTTTCTATATTAACTGTTCATTCATTTTCTAATTACAAATTGATTATAAAGCATATCAATACCTCATTTACAATTACAAATTGTAAAACTGTCTTATAATAATGCTTATTCATTTGTTATCCTATAATCTTTATTGAATATTTTATGCCTAAAATAAAACATCGGATAACAATGCTAAAATTTTGAATAAGAAAGTATACAAATGAAGATTCAACGTTAAATAGTTTTTTGTTCATTATATATGAATAAATTAATAGTTGAGTTCATGAGTTAACTGAAGCTGGACCATCATGGAAAACCTGGAAGCAATGGATGACCCTTTCGTCCCATTGTGAGACTCCTCGACAGTGTGCATTCATGATCCCGTCGCGCGAGATTCGAACACAGAACATATCGGTCTCGCAGGCGAATGCTTAACCACTAGACCACTCAGCCGACCGGCATCCAACGGTGTTAATATCAAACTCCAAACAATCCACGAACTTGAACCACCGTTCACCATTAAACTTGTCAGTCTAAATCTGGACTGCGGGATCGTGGATGCACATTGCTGGGGGGTCCGACAATAAGACGAAACGACCGTCTGGCGCTTCCAGGTTTTCAGTGGCGTTCTAACATATATGAATAACACTATCTATATAAAAATTGTGTTAAATTTTCCTTTTGAAATTTTTACTTGCAAAGTAAACTAGTTATAATTATTGTAAGTATAGAGTTGTGGAGGTTATTGAGTTTTGATTGAGATCTTGAGTCGATCGACGTTAGTCCACCATTGAAAACCTGGAAGCACTGGCCGTCCGTTTCGTTCTAATTGTTTAATGGTTGAGCACTCGCATGAGGGACCGAAGACCGTGGGTCCGAACCGAGACTGCAGGGTCGTGGATGTACACTACAGAATACTCCCATACTACAGCAAAATAACCATCCAGTGCTCCCAGGTTTTCAATGGTGGTCTAACATTGACAGATGCAATTATATTTATTTTGGGGTAAAAGGTAACTAACTCCATTAATATAGATGTCTGTATGAAGTAAATATTTTTACAACATAGTATGGCGTTAAAGTAATGATTTAATCGTTATAATAATCTACCAACTAATCTTTTGCTGTATTTAAAAAAATAATGAGCGAGAAATAATTTTTTGTCAGGCAATATTTTTAGGCTGAATAGTCTCTCAAATTAGATAAACTGACGTCACTGTAGACTTTATTTAAGCCTAGATGGCTGGTGATAACTATGAGGGCAGTTACTGCTGTTTCTTAAATGACACCAGTTACTATACAGTGACAAAATCACATAGAAGAATAGTTGCATCCTGCAAAATTATTAGGTAATATCTATGAGTGCTGTATGTGTTTGGATTTTTGATGCAGAAACAGTTCCAACCTAATTGTAAAGAAGCTGTTTAAAAGCATATGAAACGTAAAAATAGAATACAATTGTATACCTTCTTCATTATTAATTTCAGATGGCAAAAATTTGAAAAACTGTTGTTACTCATTTATATTATTAAATAACCATTTTAGGGAACTTCTTTATATGGAAATTTTCCTCATAGTTAATTCACGGTTGGAATTATTGTCAAGTTAAATACATGGAAAAAATATCTCTAATCTATTGATATTGATGATGAAACCTACTAGAAAACTACATAGTATATCAAGTTGTTTACACATAAACACAGTTATTTCCATTCTATGGGTAAATATTAATGTTCAAGTTATTATGTATCAAATACCTTTGTACTAGTTAAATGTAGAAAAACAATAAAACATAAAAAAATATGTTAACTTCATTTTCCAAGAAGTCTTTTATCAAACAAAATGAGAACTATCAATGGAGCAATTTTCAGATGTCTCTTTTGGACATAGAACACCAGGTAAACATCACTGAAACTTTTGATGTTTTTTGAAACTAATGCGTAAAATCAAGAGAAACCTAATTTGTGAGTTCTGATGGAAAGTTGGTAATCAGTGTTTATCTTGATAACATACATTTCATTTTATAACATTATAATTCTTTAGATTCTTTTTGTTCGCGTCAAACTACTTTATCACATCTTTTTTCGACGTTATTTTATTTCACTAATTTTGTGCATTTTTAAATAACTGAAATTTTATCAGAAGAGGTTTGTGGAAATTTTAGAAATTTCACAGATTGAAATCATGAGCCGATTGAAGCTATACCACCATGGAAAACTTGGAAGCACTGGACGGCCGATTCGTCCTAGTAACACCATTGGATGCCAGCTCAGTGGTCTAGTTGGTTGAGCGCCTGGCGCGAGACTAATAGGTCCTGGGTTCGAGCCCCGCGTGGTGCGGGATCGTGGATGCGCACTGCTGAGGAGTCCCATACTAGGACGAAACGGCCGTCCAGTGCTTCCAGGTTTTCCATGGTGGTCTAGCTTCAATTGACTTATGATTTCAATCTGTGAAATTTCTAAAATCTCCACAAACCCCTTTTGATGCTAACTATCTGCTCACTAGTGACTGACTTCAAGATATACTCCTGGAGTTCTAGTGAAAAGCCGTTACCAGTGGAGTTCAACCAGGTCTGTTGTGAGATATCAGCTCACTGAAGACAATGGTGTACGGTGGTGCGACTTCGTGGATTAGTTGAAGTTAGATATTAGCACCGTTGGATGCCGGCTCAGTGATCTAACTGAAATTTGCTTACTTTGATTTAGATTCCTATCTTATCACTGATATGGTCTTTAACACTACACAAGTAGTATTTTATTCCTTTCGTATTATTAAATATTTTGGAAGTTTATTTTATTTTTAAACTATATATGAAGTATTTATATTCAGTTTCTTCATGTTTACCTTAATTTTTAATATACTATGTTAAATAATGGTTGCATTAACTTCTAAATAAATTTATTTCTTCAGGTATCTTTAACGTCATTTTGTGTATTTTAGATTTGAAATACAACCATATGTAAGCTAATAATGAGAATTTATTAGAATAGGGGTTAGTGGAGATTATGGTAATTAAAAGTTGAATTCATGAGTCGAGCTGGCTTAGTGATCTTGAGGTTGGGCGTTTGCGTGCGATACCGAAGTTCCTGTGTTCGAGTCTCGCCTGTGAGCTTGTGAATGCGTATTGATGAAGAGTCTCATACTAGGACTGATATGATGGAAAGAAAAGTCAATTTTTGATTGATTTAATCATTATGAGTTTTGCTCAACATTACTTTCGTTTTGATTGAATGTGATGATTGTTCAGTATAGTAATTGTTTTCTCGTATGATATTTTATTCTGTATAATATACGATATTCTTGTATTCAATGGATATGAGCTATGCTCAGTATGTGATTTGTTATAACTTTAAGTAATTTTTATATATGTGATTTCATCCGAATTATTCATCAAAGTGTATGTACAGTCAATATATATATATATCGTCGTGTTTTGGGGTTAATAATTCTTCACTTACACCAGTCTTGTGTCCTTAAATTCGCGTCGTGGGAATTGCGGAGGTCCCACGTTGTGAGTATAAGTGATAGGCGTTTCCGACACAACCATCAGCGACGACCAGATATAAAAAGTAGCATTCAACTGCCAAGTTATAATAAGGAAGAAACGGACGTCCAGTGCTTCCAGGTTTTCATTGGTGGTCTAGCTTAAATCGGCTTATGAATGTGAATTTCCAAAGTAAAAAAAATTCATGTTACGCTTAACTAATTGTTTCTGTTCTCCGTAAGATTAATAGAGAGAAATGTGTATGAAATTCATTCAACCATCTAAATTATTTATTAGTTGAATTTATTCTTTTTATTTTACTTAAATTACTTATGAATCACTGAAAAAAATTCACAGGTTACATTGTTTATCAACTCACAATCTGATGTCTGTAGACAAATTCGTTCACTGTATTGACTTTCACCAGCTTGGTTGTGTGCTTTAACGCGTGCACGATAGACCGAACGAAAGTGTAAACCTTCGACAGTGCACATTGTTTCAACACCTCGATAAACTTTCTAAATATGAATAAAAGTAATTTTAAAAAATATGTAAATTATGAAAATCTCGTTAAAAAATTTGTAGTAATTATACGTATGATTTCATAATCACACTATTTAATGGTTCGTTAATTCGGAAATAATTACGAAAATCGGTTTACTTGAATTTCAATTAATGATTAGTGAGTTATACAACTAAATTCAATGACTGGTCAATAATTTCAGGAATTTAACATTTCTAATATATCAGTATGAAAGAAAGTTAGAAATCATTAGGAACGTTTTATAGTTTGCTCATTTAGATGGTTACAAACTATAAAACACTTAACTAATGTCATCTACATAATCTTTACTCACATTTCACAGGCTAAATATATCCTTAAAATTCAAAACAGTTAAACTCCTGAAAATAAAGTCGTATAGTTGTTTAGAATATTATGGTTTGATTAGATGTTTGTAAAGCAAGTGAAAACTATTTCAAAGATTTAAGTTTTGAATAGTTTGCTTGAAATGTATATCATTTAACTTTTTACTTTTAATCACTTATCAGTAAATTCGTTTGAAGATTATATATCCCCTGCTGTTCGAGTAATTCTATGAAACACATTGTACATATTATCTAAATCATTCATTGATAACTGTAAAGTCTGAAGGAATACCATTTAGACAACGGATATTCAAAACAAACGAATTGTTAAAAATAAACATAATTTTAGTAAGAAACGTTGAGAAACCCTAAAACACATAATTCACTTCAATTGCACACCTATCACGTACTTCTCATTTGAGTATTAGCTAAGAAAAATATAATTTATGACAATTATTTTGTGAAATACTTCAAATTACAATGTTCTTTCTAGTTATGTTTATTAAGTTTTAAGAGCCGGTCAGTTTACATATTTCTGAAATCAATTGAATGTAATCTAATAACTTATTACAATGATCTGTTACTAAAAGATTGTTGAAAACAAAGTGATAACATTTTAATGAGAATAGAAATGAATTATTCGAACTTCTTTTCTAAATTCTTCTCAATATTTTTTTATTGTAGTGGTAATAATTATCAAGAAATTCGATTGTTATTGAACACATAGTGAATATCAACGGTTGAGATCATGAGTCAATTGAAGTTAGACCATCATGGAAAACATGGAAGAAATGGACGGCCGTTTCGTTCTGTTGTGGGACTCTTCGGGAGTACTCATCCATGATCACGTCCCGAAAGATTCGAACACAGGACATATCGGTCTCATGCACGAATGCTTAACCTTCAGATCACTGAGACGATCGACATCCAACAGTCTCAATGTCTAACTTCAACTAATCCACAAAACTGAGCGACACATCCATTATTGTCTTCAGTGAGTTACTCTCTTACAACAGACCCAGTTGAACTCCACTGTTCACTGTTTCTCACCAGAACTCCATGAAATACCTCTTGAAGTCAGTGACTAGTAAAAATATGTTGATTAATATCAGAAGGGGTTTTTACAGATATTATAGTAGGTCCTGTTTTCGAATCTCACGAGACGGGATCGTGGATGTGCACTGATGAAGAGTCCCCCAGTCGGACAAAACGGCCGTACAGTGCTTCCAGGTTTTCCATGGTGGTCTAACTTTAATTGAATCATGATCTCAACCATTGAAATTACTATAATTTCCACAAAAGCCATTTTGACATAGTAAATGATCAAGTTTTTTTTAAAAAGGGGAGTAGAATTATTCACATAACTGAGAGAAAAAAATTATTCTGTGTTTACTACTAAATAGCTAACTTTGCCCATTGGCGTGAAATACATAATACATCTATGAATATGTGTACATGTTTTTAAAGATACATATTCATATACAAAAAAAGAAATATTAACATAGATTCAAGATATCAACAAATTTACAAAATTGGATTTTTATCCCTACGATAATAACTATTGTTATGATAATTTTAAAAATAAATTATTCGAACCTTACTTCCCTCTCATGTTCATATTATTAGATTGAGTTTTATGATAAATATGCCTGTTTTTTAGAATTCCTTTATATTCCTCTTATGATTATTTAACTTAATTCCTAAGTTAGGAGATAAGTATATCTGAAGATAAAAAGATATTCAAATCACGTTATTTAATTATTCTTATAAAAATCTAACAGATACATGGTATTTCCATTTGTATTGGTTCTTGTTGATGTTATGAAGTGCAGTTGATCAGTATCTTTAGGCATATGAATAATCTGTGCAGACTAACTCGATGTTAACATTAAGTCGCAAGCATTTTAATCAGATTTGGATTATGGAAAGCAGTGAAGTCTATATTCCCTTCTATTTGGGACTCATTAGCTGGATATACCTGCACTGCAGTGTTGATATTCGCACCAGGTTTTAGACGAAGTATCTTCTGCTTCAAACATCTGACACGTTATCCATTTAGCTACTGAGTCCAAAAAGCCACCGGTTCGTACAATGGAGTAAATTTTAGCCCATCGGTTTTAGTTATTTAAATTTTTCTATTGATTTTATGGATAGCTGTTAACCGAAATGACATCGTTACTTTATAATGCGGCGGCAAACCTAGATTTTTATTAGAATCCTTATGAATACAGCAAATGAAAAAATAATCCAATTTTTTGGAACTAACTGACCAGCGTACACAAATTTATCTATAAAGTAACTAGGCAAGTTCGTCTGTTTTTCCGAACATCACATTTCTTGGTTGAGCAAAAAAACGGGAAAAAGGTTTTAATCGGCAGGAGTGACAAAATTAAAATGATGATAACTTTTGAAGTTATTTACCACTGGTTAAGTAATAGTGAACCTAGACGCAGGATATTAGGGAATGATGGTAAATCAGTTGATGAGGTTGTGAATCTTCATCGACTAAAATGGTTGGGCCACGTGTTAGGTATGCCTGAATAACAATTACCACGACGTGCAATGCTGACAAGTGTTGGAGACGGTTGGAATAAAGTTACGGGCGGACAAACCAAACTGTGGCACCAGTCCTTGAAGTCACTAAATTCTAGTCTGAGCCATGTTGGTAGATGCAGACTACTTGGTTGGGGTCCGCATGACTATCGTAACTAATGGCTGGAGACTCTTGGTGACATGGCTCAGAACCGATCACAATAATTTTCACTGTCATGAACTTTGAGGAGAATGACTAACTGAACTGATGAAGTAAACGTAATAGAATTTTAAAATACGTTTCAATTTACCATCTAAATAGATTTTAAGTAACATCACTAACTGTAGAGTCCACAAACTTAACTGTATATCTCAAAAGACTAGTCAAGTATATCTGTAGATCTACTTTCACGTTTGACAATATTGATTAAAAATAATTTATTACTCATATCCATGAAATAGTCCACTAAAATGATATTCATTATCTAAAGTAGATTGTTATAAAAAGTAGTGTCATGATGATATAATGATTCTTATAGAATTCATCGACCTTAAATATTATATAACAAACTAGACACAGTCTCCCTATTAACATTATTGGCCTTAAACTATTTTCCATTAACAAAAATTTCCTAATGTCTGGAGAATATAAACAACATTGACTCGTTAACGTGAAGAATTTGTTTTGATTTATTAGACTTATTGAAGCTACACGCTTGATTTACTTTTTTCTGTCAATCAAGATATATATATATATATATATATATATATATATATATATATATATATATATATATATATATATATATATATATATATATATATATATATATATATAATCAGTTAACAAACTAATCAAACGTAAACCTCTTCCTTTTCCTAAAAAAAACAACTCATCTTTCTTAGCTTCCCTTCTGTTGAGAGAATAGGTTGTTTCTATCATATAATTTCAGATAACCGTAATATCATTTTATATTAAAATTAATGTTATTTTGAAAAATAGTCATTCAAAGTTTTAATAAAGTAATGATGTTGTAGTAATGGGGAAATTCTGCTCTTTTGTTTATACATTAATATGTTAGACGTTTAAAATGAAAAGATTCTACAAGCTGGACATTCATAGGTTCGTTTGGTTATATATATATATATATATATATATATATATATATAACCACAATTGATTGAATACTGGGTGATGATCAATGTCATGTGTGTCAAGTCCTTATTTAGTGCAGATCGAATGCTATCGACCATGTTGCAATGTGGCCACCAGTCTAGGTGACTCGACACTGCGTGCACTATTTATTGAGATTAGATGGTGGTTGGAGGTAGTCGACGGGAAACTCTGGACCCGGGTTTCGTGCTACTTGGCAATCGTCAGCAAGGTGTACCCGTGATCTTGAGGGAACTGGTGCTCCCTGGTGGATTCAATCCCGTCGTCGATAGCATTCGATCTGTACTGAATATGGACTTGAAACACATGACACTGATCACCACCCAGTGATCAATCAATTGTGATTACATCTCAGTCCTACAAGAGGTCGGTCGCGGTTCGGATAGCTCAGTGGTAACGTCTCTGACTGTGGAACTGCATGACACGGGATCGAATCCGCCAGGGAGCACCAGTTCCCTCAAGATTACAGGTACATCTTCATGACGAGTGCCAGGTAACACGAAACCCGGGTCCAGGGTTTCTTGTCTACTCCCTTTAACCACCATCTAATCTCAATATATATAACAAATGATCTCAGATTTCTGTAGGACTGAAGTATTTAAATACTGATGCTGTTCAAAGACCTTACTGAATATTTTTTACCACTGATATTTCATAATCTCAGCTTATATCTGTCCCTTTCTAAAAATGATAAGAAAAAAAATCATGTGTCAAATATGAACAGATGTAAAAATTGAATGACTTAAGCACTGATCCGTAAATAACGGAAATGTTCTAACTAATGGTTTACGTAATGAATAAAGAATGAGAATTATCTAACAGACCTAATCAAGTTCTTTAATATCTACTTTTTATTCATGATTTTAATAAATTTGACATTCGTCCAAATATGCAACTTGTTTAAATTCCCACAGCATTTTATTTCATTTCTTTTCTGAAGTATATTATAAAGATGTTCTGTAAACCTATAAACATAAACCAAGTATTAAACTCTTTCCACCATTATACTGAATATACATAAGGATTTGAACAACATTGTTTTCAGTTAGTTATTCATCAATGTGATAACATAGATTGATATGACAACATAGGAAGTAGTTTTGAACTTGCAAAAAAACATATATTAAAATTGCTGTCAAAAAATTTGACATATTTAAGGGTGTGGTTTATGTTCATTTCTTCTATGTGATAATTTTAATAAATAAAATAATATATATTTGTAATGACCGAATGAGTAGAAAAATTAAATTTTCTGAAGTTTTGTGACTCCGTATAAGTCACTTCTTCAAAGAATAAATGACCAAACCATGTTGGATTAATTTTGATTTGGTTGTTTATTCTCTGAAGAAGTGGCTTATGTGAAGTCACGCAACTTCAGAACATCTAATTTTTTTACTCATTGGGTTATTATAAATATAATAATTTATTATTGCCGTTATCACATAGAAGAGATGACGATAAACGTCAAGTCAAACCTCGGTAATGATATTGATAATGGCAATGTTTAATCATTAAAAACAACATATTAGTTTAGCTGTTTCTACATATATCAGAAATGTTGATTAATAAACAGTTTATTAAAATAAAACTGTTGGGCTCATCATTGTAAAATGTAATATTTACTACATTTTCTTCAGTCCTTATTTAAGCAATCAACATTTTAGCTAGAGTTGGTCATGTGATCTAGGGGTCATGAGGGTTTCATTTAAAATGAATTTACATAAAAGCCGTCATTCATGTTTTATGATTGTTATTACTAAATTATGACTGATAAATAACTATATATAGTATAAAAAATTAAACCAAATGGGACGTTAGAAATACAAAAATGATGACTGTTAGAAGAGACTTAAAAGAAACTTAATTCAACAAATTAGAAGTCCTTGTTTTGAGTGACCTAATTAAGTAGAGCTTAAGTAGTTATCTGTTTACTACCGAAATGAATAATAGTTTAAAAAAGAAAACAATTTCTGGAAAAAAACGATATACTATAAACTAACCCTGAAAGTTCCACCTGCTCCATCATCCAATTCAAGTGTGTAACGATCAATAGGAATAGACGATGTGGGTTGCCACACAAGAGTAATAACATTACGCTCTGAAATGCATTCTTCTATAAGAAACGCTGGTGGAGCTGGAGCTAGAAAAAGAATAACAATATTTAAAAAAATTAGTGTTTGGACAGATATTATTTTGACATATTTTTCATTAAAGATTATGAATTGATAAACGATTTGGAATATTATTGATATTATGAACTAATCTAAACTAGATAACCGGTGGACACGAGGAGGAAGTGTACAGTTTTTGCGGCCACGGTAATGTACATCCATATTCTCGTCACTGGGGGTCAAACTCAGGACCTTCGGTCTCTAGCACGGACGCTTAAATTCTACACTACTGAGCCAGGATCCAGTAAATAAGAACTTTCGTCTAAATTTGAACGAATAGTTTCACAAAATGTGGGCGCCGAGTTAGTATGAAACCTTTAAAGAGGAAGAATGTATTGTAAAATCTCAGCGAAAGAATTTGAAGTAAATCCAATGTTTCGCCTGGCACTCTGGTCCAAGCTTTTGCTGAGATTTTACAAATACATTCTTCCTCTTTAATGTTCTACATTGATAATTTATAACTCCGGCGGCCTGCTTGAATATCTGGGCTACCTGTTCCTTCGATCTAGATATTTCTTCAAGTTATCTGTTTTGTTGTTTGTTTTAGCACATCAATATGTCTATTGTGCTCACAATCTATTCGGGCGCGTTTATGAAAAGTTTACAACCTTTCGCTATACGGGATACAGAAAGGTACAATCAGCGACATCATGGTGACTGGCAATATGCAATGAAACGAATGAACATTAATCAAATGTGGATTACCGAATTCCTAACATCTAACTGGTCATCATTCGAAATTTATCGTCACAATCGATCAAGATATAAGAAAAAGAAACTTGTTGAAATACTTTATGCTGAGAATTCTATGTTGTACCAAAAGTATAATGTTGAATAAAGCTTCTTATAATAATAATAATAATAATCCATTAATAGATAAGAAGCAGAGATACAGGCTCAGTGTAGAGAATTTGATTTCAGTTTTCCAAGTTTATGATTGTTCATAGAGGTTTTGTCAGTAAGTGAACCGTTGACTTTAACTTCACATTAAATGTTGTACTTATGAAGATTGTGAATTTCATGGGGCTGGAAGCAAATAATATAATTAGTTTCCATTAGATTTTGTACTAATTAGTAAATTTCATCATAGTATATCCCAATTCTTGGATTTACCGATACCCTAGATAGGATTTAAACTCACACTAACTAATTTCTGAGTAGTAAACATCAATCTGAAAAAGCGAAGTATACCATGTTTCATTTGAGGTAGTTTGACATATGAAACTCAAGTCGACATTTTTTCTAAGGAGCTTAAGTTTAAGCTTACAAATAATTTTATTTCTTTTTTATAAAAACTATCATTTTTCGATTTATATAATCCTTTTTCAACCCTGTATATAAAATAAAAATTATGTGTTCTAGATATAAATCCGCCCTGGTAATCAGTAATCTATTTGATCTGGAGGAAAGGTGTAAAAAAGTCTTATTGATTTCATATAATTATAACTCTGTCCCCTTTCTAATAATTACTCCATATTAAATTACATTCACTAATTTTCAAACATAAATGAGTTAATTTGTATACATTGAAATATCTTGTTAAAAAAGTAGTTCTCAAATACATGACAATTTTGTATTCAGATCGATTGGTTTTTGTCACTAAACAAACAAAAAATTAAATTCACTTGGTGTTGTTTCACTTTTATCTTCCCATTATGAATTAGGACTGCAATTGATCAGTCTCATGTTGGTATATGTGCATCCTGTGCTGATTATCTCGATATAGCCTTAAGTCACGAGCGTTTTAAGCAAATATGGATAGTGGCTAGCAATGAAATCCAGGACGCGAGTTTAGTACTATTTGGGACTCGTCATCTGGATACAAGTAAAACAACACCAAGTGAATTTAAATATCACCCCATTGCAGAAGCAGGTGGCTATCAGGACTCAGTAGCTAAGTGGAGAACGTGATGACGTTTGAAGTGAACGGTACTGGGTTTGAGTCTCAAAGTGAGCATCAACTCTGAGGCACAGGTACATCCAGATGACGAGTCCTAAATAGGACAAAACTCGCGTTCTGGATTTCACTGTTAGCCATTATCCATCTTTGCTTAAAATTAAAAAAAAACAAATTTGATTAATTTATGACCACTCAATAATATAAATCATTTAAATCATTATTTGATTTAACCACCCACTATTGATGAAAATATGATATTATAATTATATATATATATATATATATATATATATATATATATATATATATATATATATATATATATATATATATATATATATATATATATATAAGGAAATCTTGTCAACTAGGAAATTGAACTTAATTACATTGTATGAGTGTTATTGAAATTAAAAACCCTAAGTCAGATTAGATCAAGTTCTCGTGAAATCATGATTCGGAAATTTATGTAATGTTTCAAAATTTGTTATCTTATTTATTTAGCTAAGTATGTATATACAAAATTCATTCTATTCACTATAATCTGATGAAATAGAATACAATGAAAATCAATGAGATTTGAGAATCACTTTTGTGATAATTTAACAGGACTCAATTCTAGATTCACTTCATATTGTTTACTTGAATCTTCTCATTGACGTTTAGTACTGTGATTGACTAGCCACTTATTGACCTATGTGCATACTGTGCGTATTGCCTCGATATTGCCTTAATTCATAATCATTAAAAGTAAATAGGATGAAACGCGCGTCCTGGATTCCACTGCTAGCCACTATGCAACTTTGCTTATAACTCAATTCTGTCTTTACCAATCAAACCTATGCATCCAGATCTTTAGAGTAATCACAGTAACCAGGACAGTATAGAAATAGTTAATAGGAAATAATTCATAATCAATTTGAATAAGTTTAGCTAGTAAAGGAATCAATCTTTCATTTATTAGGCGAGTATTAACTTACTTGATGTAATTTTTAGCATCCCTTAATGATGAATTATTCCTTCTCATATTTACTGACTCATAATAATGCTTACCATTTTCTTAAAAATTTTCTAATAATAAATACAGACATCTACAAAGCTTGCAACAAAGAAATAATTCACAATTTGACTCCTGATGAATCAAATCTAACTCAAATTATTACAACTTTATGAAATTACACAATAATTATTTATATGATATTAAAAAGGGAAAAAAATAGTTTTATTTTCATGTCTCTTATTATAATTTATACAAGTGATAAATAAGACAACTGATGAAACCACTCTATATAATCTTAACTGCTTAAATTAAATAAAAATTAGAATCTTATTCATAAAATAAGAGGATTAAGTAGATAATTACAAACATAGAATACTAGATCATCCAAATCACTCTATTTTTTCATATAAAATTTATTATACTACTCAAGAAAGGTTTTACTCTGTTATTATTATTAACATTATCTTTGTAGGTGGTGGTACTGACAACTGAAACGAGTAAATGACTACAACGTCGATCAATATCTCAAAAGCGTTACTGACAAGCCAAATACAAAAATTGTGTATACAACGAACACAGCTTCAAAACTCAGAACTATATATATATATATATATATATATATATATATATATATATATATATATATATATATATATCAAAGATAATTACATAAAACATACCATCGTTAATTTTTTGATTGATAAGTTGAAAATATTCAGTTCTTTTTGTATCTAGAAACAAGAACAAAAAAATAAATAAATAAGGGGACAACATCAATCAAATATGAGAAAAATTTATTTTTATTACGAAAACATTTCACGTGTTTGTGTGTATTTTTTGGTGAGTATAACATATACTTGGTATAGTTTCTATTTTAATGAGATATGAATTGATTTGTCCACTGTTTTATATCTAGATAAAGGACTAACTGAAGACAACAACAAAAATTCTGTTTCTTTTTTTTCTCTCTCTCTCCCTTCCTCTTCTTTATTTTCTTATAATTCGTATGTTCAATTGTTTTTGATGAGTAGAATGAATATTCTTTTCAATATGTTCAATAAATTGCATATAAATTTGTTATTTTTATGTTATTTAAAATAAAAAACAATGTTGAATTAATTCAGATAATCCAACTTCAATTTTCTCATATATAAACTGCTTACCACTGTATATGTTTTGTCTTTTATTGCATAATTTTGAAATTTGAGATCATTTGTCAATTGAAGTTAGACCACTATGGAAAACATGGAAGCAGTGGATAGCCGTTTCGTCCCGGTATAGGACTCATCAGTCGTGGATACTCACGATCCCGCCCCCCGAGATTCAGACACAGCACATATCGGTCTCATGCGCGAACGCTTAACCTACAGATCACTGAGCCGAACGGCATCCAACAGTCTCAATGTCTAACTTCAACTAATTCACGAAATCGAAGGACATATCCACCATTGTCTTCAATGAGTAACTATCTCACAACAGACCCAGTTGAACTCCACTGTTCACTGCTTTTCACTAGAACTTCATGAAATACCTCTTGAAGCCAGTCACTAGTGAACATATGTTGATTGACATGAAAGCGGTTTTTGTGGATATTATAGTTCTTTCAGGTTTTCCATGATGGTCTACTTACAATCGATTCATTATCTAAACTATTAAAATTACTATAATATCCACAAAACCCCTTCTTTTGTTGTATAGTTTGAAAGTATTTATTTCGTCAAATGATATTAATATATGGAACGTTGTTGATTAGCAAACCTGATTAAATTACATAATTATCAGCACAAAATATGCAAAATCTCAATACTATTTTGAATCTTTCTAAAATACGTACGTATTGAACTTTGAACAAAAATTAGTTATTATTCATATTCATCTGTTTACTTTTAAATTCAGTTTTGCTCTTATGACGCATTTTTGCATCACTAAATATATTCGGTGTATTGATTTTGTGATAATCTCTCATTATTATTTCATATAACAGAGAGAAGGACGACATTTGACCCACTGTAATGGTACTTCTACGATTTTTAAGTAATTAAATTTATAATAGGTTGGAAACATTTTCTATGAGCGCGCAAATAGACTGGACTGACTGACATAATAAGCGAATTAAAACATGTTTTAATTGAGCAAATTGATAACAACAAATGCCAGTTTGGAAAAATGGTACCTATTAGTTCTAGAGAGCCACCGTGTATATGGGTTAAGACTATCTATACTTAAGAATAATTTCAATATACATATAAACGTGGCAGTAAGTTAGTCCAAATTGATTATCCGTTTTCAGAAAATCATCATATCATTTCATTAAATGGTCACAACTGGTTTAAATAAGCTAGTTGAGAGCAAAGAGAGTGTTATCAAATGACGGTCACTACAATTAGCAATAAGGTTAAATCTAAAAAAACACTACTCAGTGGAATAAAATCAAAGTCCAATATGGACTCATTCTTACTATGAGATTTAAAGGTGTCGAATTCTATTTTAGATTGAATAGTCTTTTTAACACTACTAATACTTCTAAACTAAAACGGTGTCATATGCTTGGAAAATTGTTAAGAAATCTCCAGTATTTTTTAAATAACCTAAATAAAATATGTACCGTGTTAAAATGATGCCACATATATTATATGCATTTTTGATGAATTTTGAAATCGCGAGTCGATCTAAGCTAGATCATCATTGAAAACTTGGAAGTACTGGACAGCCATTTCATCGAAGTATGGGACTGCTGAAAATTGCACATCCACGATTTCGCACGTAGAAACCGAACTCAGGGCCTCAAATCTTACAAGCCAATGCCTAACCTTTAGACAGTTTGGCCGTCATCCATCGGTAACGATGTCTAGCTTCAATCCATCCATTATCTTGTTCAACCCTTGATCCATCATCTGCGATGGGTAACTATCTCGTTTGCAAAAATACAACAGTTCTCACGAATTCTCCATAGAGAATCTTAAATCACATAGCATATTTATTAGTCATTTCAGACAATAAAACCCTGAAGGATCAGAAACATTTGAGAGCTCAGTATTTGAAAATAAATTCTAGACGAAAAATTCATAGATTTCAAAGGTTTGCTATCAAACTATTAAAAGTAGTTATGAAATTTTACATACATACATACATATATACATACATCATATTTACACTGATTGATCATAATACCTTTAGGATTTGTACTCCTTGTGATCTACTATCATGATTAAAGATAACATAAATGAAATATCATATCTCTCTAGAATATATCTTATTTCTAATCCAGGAAAAGAAAATATAAAGAATTATATTAATTGCTATTGATTTTACGTAATGCAGATAGTTCAGATCCAAATAAAATTACTTTAAACTTTAAACGTTAGAAATTTTGTGTATACAGTAAACAGAATGTTCTTTTTAAAGAAGAATTTACAGCTTGATATGATAAAACAAGTATATTGTAATAAGTTTCTATACTAACTCATCTTAATATACTACTTGTATTTTCCATTATTCAGTTAAGACTTCATCATATATTTAAAGTTATTAAATAAAAATTAAATGCATTTCGATCCTCTATGTGACTTTTAAAAATTGTTACAATTATTTGTAACCTGATGAATGAGTATTTAGTGTAGTTAGTTGTAATAACTTTATCCACCTTATAAAATGAATAGTCAGTAAAGTGTGTTATAGTTTGTTTTACTGATATAAAACTTTAATCAGAATGGGGTTTGTAGAAGTTGTAATACATTATTAATTGAATTTATGAGTCATTTGAAGCTAGACTACCATGGAAAACTTGGAAGCACTGGACTGATAGGCTTTGAGTTCGAATCTCGCGGGGCCACGTCGTGGATGCATACTGTTAAGGAGTCGCTTACTACGATGAAACGGCCGTTCAGTGCTTCCAGATTTTCTATGGTGGTCTAGCTTCAATTGACTCATGAATTCAATTATTTAATAAAACGTTAATAAAATATCGTTTATTTCAAAAAGTTTACAATATTCAAATTTGCTAATAAAGAAATAATATGATACAGCAATACTAATTTATACTGTTTCAAATGTTTTTGAAAACATCTTTAATATTTAACATTGTCAATATAACTTGCAAACGTACACAAAAGCTAGGTTCACAGCATTTTGCCTGATTGCCAATAAATCACATTTCTTTAAGCATAGGTCACCTAAAAGTCGTTTCATGTGGTATAATGGTTGCATTTCAAATTGATTAACTGAATCAAACCATTATTAAGAAATAAACAACTTATCATTGGTTACCAATCATTGAACAATCAATATATGTGAAATTTACATAACTGAAATAATCACATTAAACATACAATTAATATCTTTCTGAGGCTTAGATACATTATGGTAAATATCAAAGGAGCTTCATTTTAAAATTATTAAGCCAGTCCCTTATATCATTACTCGCATATATATAGACAAAATATTGAATATTGCCCATTGAAATGAATATATACTTCATATTATATTATCAGTACATGAACTAATAAACAAAAGAATAACCTGGGCGTGGTTTAAAAACTTTATAACAATATTGTAATATTGATTGTTTCATATAGCACTAATAATATCTTAGGGATACTTAAATGTATTTAGAATTTCGCTCAAGGAAATAATACTATATTTTGAAATTTACATGAGTTTAATTTTGAATTTCAATACTAGTAGAAATCGTAAAAATGATAATATCAGCAACAATAAAGATCAGAATATTGGCTTGTATTATTCTCAAGTTGCTAAGCAACTTTTTAGCAACCACTACTGTCCTTACTTATTTGTACAATTTCCCCTTCTCAGTATTAAGGTATAGCCGTATATATATATATATATATATATATATATATATATATATATATATATATATATATATATATATATATATATATATATATATATATATATACCACTTAATGAAGAATGGTAAATTGGAATAAATTAGAAATTAATTATTGTCTCCATTGTTCTGAGACAGGGTTTCACTGTTTTGATTCCCATCTGCCTAAAAAAATTACAATATAGTAAGCCACTATGTAGTTAAATATGATCACTGGAAAATGAGTTAGTGTGAAGTTACATGTTATTCTTTAGACAGTATACACCATTTTTAGGTAATGAATTATATCGATGACAGTTTTGAAAACATTACTTGACATTGATTATGCGAACGAATCCTATTTTTCATTTCACATGAATAGAGCAGAAAGAAAAGTTGTTCTAAGAGTCATTCAATAAAATTACCTGATTTAGATTTTCAGTTATGATAACTGTTTAAGATAATTTATGTTTGGTGTATTATGAATAGTATTTTTAAACCATTATAATTCAATGTTTTTACCTTTAATGGTTTACATCGGGGATTAACTTCAGTTAGATAACCATTAAAACCCAAGATTTACTAAAAAGGTTTTTGTCCTAACGTGAAACCCCATAACAGCTTTAATTGTAATTTATTTGTCTAGACTGTTTACAAGTCTCAAATAATGGTTTTAAAAAATCATAGACTGAATAAACTCACAAACAAAAATCATTTTTCCATTACTTTGTAGTTTATTGTTTAGTTGTTTACTAAGTAACCAAAAGATTTCTAAAGCCTATGTAATCAACATCTTGGGTGTTCATTGTTGCTAAATAACTCTTTATTGATATGAAACAGAGTTGACTTATAGTTACTGGATTAATTAATTAATGCTTAATTTTACACTTAGTTAACGTTCAT